TTAATCTCAGTTCTGGCCGTTGCCAAATTGGTCGTGCTTCACTATGCCTGCTAGGTCTAACCCAAAAATGGGCAGAGAGGCGGAGCATGAGTGGAATTCCCTAGACAGCTAGCAGCCAGCCACTATGGTGTGACCTTCCCACCTGCAACTCAAAGTGACCACACCCTTAATTATGTATAATTTTGTCTTAGTATAATTTAAATGGACGAGTTATAAAAATAAGTTGCCCCTGTACAGTTGTCATGGAAGGGGAAAGTAGCTCTGGAGACCAAAGCCATTTTTTGTCCCCGACTGTAGACACGTTTATTTCTGCTGTAAACTTGGGCACTTTAACATCAGTCTACAGTTCTAAGAACTGTAGGTTTTGGCTTTTCCACACCGGCTAGATCTCTCAGCCTCGGAGGCTGCTGCTTGGTCACGGAGGGGGGGCAGCAGAGAGATACCATGTCCTGCCCCACTGTCACTGGGTGTATCAGACTGTGGAGAATCTGAGTTAATGCAGCTCGACCATTTATAAATAAATAGGATGATTGATCAATTGTGATTGGACCATTAAAGAGGGGTGTGATTCTGGCGTCCCAGCTCCTGAAATATGTTTTGCATTTAACCATTAATAAGCCGATCACCAGCTGCCTCGACTTACTGCTAATAATCTGACACACGGGCCCCTTGACCTCAGTCTGCAAACACAAACTGGACTTTCCACTTTCCTGACAGATCTCAGAAATTATTCCTGCGAGGATTCAACCAACTCACCCAAACAAACCGAGTTTCAGACGTCAGTCACTGCTGTTTTTTCACCGTGGGAACTGGATCCAAACCCCGAGACCAAACAAACATCGCACAGCCAAAGGTTTTTTGTAAATGTGACTGAGTTTGGATTAAATTACATGTAGTAAGATTACGGAAGTTGTAGTTTTAATTAGAAGCAGTTAGTGTGAGAGAGGAAAACGGAGAGAAACTACCAACTGAGAAACAGGCCTGGGGAGGCAAGACAGGTCTTTACTGTTTGACCTTTATTTGTTTGAACAAGTTAAAATAAAGAAAGACAACAATAATGTGCAGGGAGAGGGAAACTGCCAAAGAAGGACCGATTCATCAGCTTTGGCCAAACAGTAACTCAGACTGAAGGATGGATTCAGATTGTATCAAAGAAAAACAGCACCAGGCCAAAACGTGTTAGTAACAGTGGATAACTGTAGTGATGAATCGCCTGGAAACAGAGCAAACAAATAGTTAATAGAAGGGCTGACCAAAATTTAATCAGACTACAAGTTTAAAAATGTCATAGTGAAAAGTCTAAATCAAATATTTTCACACATCTGAAGTATGACTTTGTAAATACTCTCTTTACTGGACTCAAACAGTCGAGCCGTGGACGCCGTGACCCTTTTCACACCCAGCAGTCACATGACCCATTGTCAGAATAAAAATATTCATTAAAGCAGCTTTAACTATTAGAACTAATTAACATCTTACAAATTCAGGGATTTTTCTTGCTTCAAATTTTCAGCTTTAAATTAAAGTATTTGTTCCCTCCTGGTGGAACCAATATTTACTCAAGTACTATTTTGAAGTACTTGTACTTAAATATTTCTGCTATAAGTGAGTGAAATGTACTTTAGAAGTAAAGAAGTAATGTATCATTTCAACTGTCAGACACAAGTAAAATTTACAGTATTTATGTCGCGGAGGAAAAGTAGAAATACTCTAAAGACCGAAGGCTTCTAGACGGACTCGGGTGAAATGACCTTCAGCCGCTGGGAGGTTGGACGTTTTCCCTCAGATTGACAGATTAAGAGCAGTAGATGGTCACATGCAAGGCCACTGCTGTGTGTGTGGCCTTAATGGGTGTACTGGTTGTAATGGTTTGCTTTTGGTGGGATTTCCTGTTGGGGTGGGGAGCAATGTTCGGCAGACGAGGGGCCGCACTTTCAAAATCAGATGTGAAGCTTTTTTTTTTTTTTTTAACTGGAAGCTTGTTGGAGGAGAAAAGTGGGAACATGAACATGAGCCACACGTCACCGTGCACGTTCACTTTCAGTTTTATTTGACCAGTCAGTCACGACTTCCTCAGCTCAGAGGTTTTATAAGAAAAACCTTGATTTCTGGTTTTTTTGATTATTTTTTTTTGTTTGTTCTTTATTAATTTGCGTTCCGCGTCTCCTTTTGCTCTTCTTCATGTGGTTTGCGGTCCACCCTTTCAGGTTGTGTAGATAACACTCATTAAGTTTGTTTGGCTGTTTCTCAGGCTTGTGGTCTCGAAGCGTGTGACAGGGGTTTGATGCTCTGCCTGTGATGACAGAGCAGGGTCAGTGGAGGCAGGTTTGCATCAGCAGTGAGACGCAGTCGGAGGACACCAGATAAACCAGCTGTTAATTTCAGATGTGTGTGTGCATCCACAGCTCTGTTAATTATTTCACTGACTGACATCTTTGCTGAGCTCCCTTCGCACTTACCTGAACAGGTGTAGGCTTCACTGAGTTGAGGCTGATGAGGTAAAACGCTGCTCAGTTGAGTGGGACAAGGTGACAGAGTTTTGTCTGTGTTTGATTTTGTCTCGTTGGTTTTCCCAGGATTCAGTTTTCATTGATAAACGTCACCTTTTGCTTTTGCCCTTGCCCTGACTCCTGCCTGCTGGTCATGTCGGTCCGAGCTGCAGACGTGCGCTCACAGAGCTGATGCTGACACACACCGATAACACGCTGTCAGATAAACAAACTGCGGTGGGTTTGTGGAAGTGGTGGCCTTGGTCTTGGACCCAACACCAGGTTTAAGGTAAGGCTCCAGAACAGAGGGTAAATCAACAGCCTGAGCTCCAAAGTGACAGAAATGTGTTTCTGTAAATGTTTGTACTGATTTTGTTCTCCTTAAGATTCAGATCATTTCACCAGAAGCTCGCCAACGTGGGTCAGAAGTCCTGTGAGCCGCTTCACCTCCAGGTCGACTGAGGAAGGTCATGTGATATGGCCAGAAGCTTCAGAGCTGAATCTAAATGGGCCTTGAGGTGAGAGAGTTTCTCTGACTGACGTTCACCTTGATTCAGCCTCCTCCTGAAACATTTTGTTTATCACAGAAATCTGGACTCGGCGGTGCCGTCCCGTTCGTCCTCTGTGAGTACAAATGTGTTTGTGTGTGCATGCATGTGTCGTCTTTGTCTGTATTTTTTAATTGTCTTTTATTCCCAGTGATTGATTCCCCCCACCCAGTTTTATTGCCTCATGATTTTGCCACGTTTAAACTTGTGCTACAGAACCCTTTGCTGTTTTATCATTTACATATCTGCATTGGGGCAAAGTAACAAAGTACATGCACTAAAGTACTGTTTTTATGATCCAAACGACTCGTTTCACGTCATCGTTCACAGCTGTAGCTGGTGCAGAGCGTGTTACTGCTGCCGTTTTCTGTTTCTGGTTATAAGTGGAAACTTCCCTTGTTTTTACGAACCCTTGTCATGTTTATTGGGACATTTTCTCAGTTTTACTACACATCAGATATTTAGTTTTTACAAGGAATCTTCTTGTTATTTCACCAAATCAACAAAACAGCAAAATTATGAGAAAAGCTCGTTATTATCAGTCTCTTAAAACGTTGCTTGTTAAACCATGAACTGTTGTCACCATACAAAATACTGTAAGTAGTAATAATGAGAAAATGTGTCCTAAAAACACAAAAAGATGAGGAAAGGTTCTCGTTATAACAAGAAACTGAGCAGAAACGTTTTGTTGTGGTGGCAGCGACACACTGCAGACACAAGTTTCAGACAAAATATTCTGATCAACTTTTAAAGTACACACTTGTACTAACTAAATTCATACAGGAACAGAAAAACAAACATCTTCAGGCTTTCAAATACATTTGTGCTTTAATTTCAATACGTAAAAAGTCAGAATTCCAGTAAAACAAACTACGCGACGACCTCTGAGCTGCGAAAACCACTGATTCAATTCATAAGTTAAAAATATCAATAATCACATCAGAGAAACTAAGGATTAGAAAAAGACTCGCAACAGATTTTATCCCAAAATAAATTTATTCCATACAAACAGGAACCAGAGCGGCCTGATGAAAATAATAAATTAATGTCACAGTCTTTAGTGAGGTTGCAGCGCCACCTGCTGTCACACGCCACCACCATTAATGCTTCACTCAGGTTCAGTGACGATGCGCAGTCAGATTAATGGACCAGGCCGCTGAACCCTCACCTTCAGTCTATTAACTAGTAACGATGTCGATTTCCCATCATTGGTTTCACTGTTCGAAACCGGCCGATCGGTCGTTCACCTGAGTCCGTCCTTCGAGAAGCCGTCTCATTCGCTTCTGTAAAAAAAAAAAAAAAAAAAATGGACGTGCACAGACTTTAGGCTTCATTAGAGCTGAAACATTTAATTCAACAATAAACAGATTATTTTTCCAGCAATTGCTGCGTAGGCAAAACTGCCAAACATGCTTAGGCTGTAACAATCAATCAGTCAGATAACTGATCAGCAAATATTTGATGTTTGATTAATTGTTAGTCACTTTTCAGCAGAAATACCAAATATCTGATTGTTAAATGTGAGAATCAGCTGCTTTTCATGGCCTCGCATCATAGTGAATTGATTAATTTAGCATTTTGGACAGTGACCTTTTCCTCAGCTTTCTGATGCTTTAGAGACAAAATGATTCATTTGTTGATTAAGAAAATAATTGATAATGAAAATAACTGTTAGTTGAAGCTCCAATTAGACAAAACAGGATGTCTGAAGATGTAACTTTGGACTTTTGCTCATTATTTTCTGACTTTTTACAGACCAGCTGATTACTGAATGACAGGAGCAGTGAAAACTCTCCTCAGTGGTGCATTCACTGATGCTCCGGAAAAATCATTAAATCTGAAGAATGGACAAATGTAACTACTGTGAAAAGGTTCATGGAAATTCTGAGACGCCAGAGCGTCCCTGAATGCATCGACATGGAGACTTTTCACAGCGTGAACTGTCTAGAAACGTTGATGCTTTTTAAACAGACTGACAGTAATTTAAACTTTAAAAGACGACAGTGGTTCAGTGGGTAGAGCAGTTGTCTCCCAAACGGAAGGTTCGAATCCCAGTGCCTGCAGTCCACATGCCGAAGTGTCCTTGGACAAGACACTGAACCCCCATTGCCCCTGATGGTTAGAGCCATCGGTTGAGTTGGCGCCACAGATGGCTGCCTGGGTTCTGTACTGGAAACAAATTCCTTGTGTGTAACATATTTGGCCAATAAAGGTGATTATTATTATTATTATTATTATTATTAAAACGTGCGACAGGACAGGTTCAAACTCTGTCCTATAGACTGGCTGTTCATGGTTGCTCTAACCGTCGTCCTCCCCACAATGATGCTCAGACTGTGCAGTGTCCCTGATCCCTTAAATCTGGACTCGGGTCAGTGTGGAGAGGAGCAACGGTTGCAGCAACGCCTCTGATGTACTTACTCAACCTGCAACTAACACTTACTGTACAGATTATTATTATTGTACTCGACTAAAATATGAAAAATGCAAAGCAAAATTTACACGAAGCTCGTCAATTTTAGTTTTGACCAAAACCAAAGAGATTCAGTTTATTATCAAAGACGCACTTTTCTCATGAAACAGCCAGATTTAAACAGCTGGAACCAGAAAATGTTGGCGATAAAATGTTTCTGTGGGTTAAAAACACTTGAACCTCGGACTAAAGAAACCGCGTTTGATTCTCCTTCAGCACACGACAGAAGTGCATTGCATTCACCAAAGAAAGAAAAATTGGAGGGTCTTATCTCAGCATTATGACGGACTAGCTCTTTTTTTTTTCTTACAGGGTCCGAACGCTGCAGAACTCTTTGGGTTTTAACAAAGTTTTTAGTGTCAGAGTAATTTGGCGACTGGTGTCAGTACATCCAACGGTGAATAGTTAATTCAGCGTACTTTGTATTTATTTACGTTGTAGAACAGTTGGTGCCTACCGTGTAGCTCACTACAGGCAGAGCAGAAGCTGTTTGAGAAACATTGTTAATGTAATTCTGTCAGTACATCCAGTAGAACATAACAAAAGTGAACAGTTAAGAGCTAATTCAGAGTACTCAGTGTTCCAACAGGTAAACAAATAGAGCCTGGGCTAAAAACGGTGCCCCAGACTGCAGTATCTTTATCTATAGCAACATTACACTCGCTGTTTCATGTAAAAAGTAGGGAACTTAACTTTTAATGTGACATTTTCCAAAATACTGTGCAAAACTGATATTTAAGCTCATGAATCCAAACTTTATCAGCTTTTCAATACAATAGCCTGATAGCTTATAGGATCTAGACCATTAAATCAGGAAGCCTACGCTGCCCCGTCTGCTTAAATAGCAACCGCAACAAACCTGTTACAGGATCCTGGTCTCCACCTCTTTATCTTTAATAGTCATCACTCCTGCAAACTTGGACATGAAACAGGAAGTAGGCTATAGACTTACTGATGTTACCATGGATACAGCGTGTCACAATGTGGGCGCTGTTTTTAGCCCAGGCTACATTTGTTTACCTTTTGGAACACTAAGCACAGTGAATTAGCAGCTTGTTTTGCTAGCTACTGCTGGATGTGCTGCCTGAGTTACGTAACTACCCTGATGAAGAAATGTTAAAGGCCCCATGTTCCTGCTCAGTGCCTGTAGTGAACTACATGGTAGGCACCAACAGTCGCCAAATTATCCTGATACCAGCTACATGGTAGGCACCAACTTTGAGGCCCGTTAGTAGCAACAACAGTCGCCAAATTATCCTGATACCAAAGACTTTGTTAAAACCCAATGAGTTCTGCAGCGTTCCAACCCCTGTATTATCTCGTAATTATGAGGTTATGGTTACAAGTTTCCTCCAACTTTTTTCTTTGATGAGTGTGATGTGCATCCACAGCACACAAATATATAAAACCATAATGACGCGTAGAGCCTGTGATCTAAAAGCTCAGATACTGACATCTGTACATTTAACCTCTGGTTCTCACAGGAAGCACAGATTCAATCTCATCATCAATCTGATGTTACTAGACACAGAGCGTACTGTCATTCTGAAAACCACGCCCACCAGTGGGGAAAACAGTTCTTCCCTTTCCAGTGACTTTGTGTTGGGTGAAGGCTCTGACAATTTGGTCTTTTTACAAAAAACTGACAAATGCCTAAAGATCCTCTGTGGTGTAGGGTGCACCACCAACAGGGCAAAAAACACAAAGTTTTAAAAGCTGCTGAAAAAAAAACCCTTTAAGAAGACAGAAGTGTATAAGACATGAAGCATTAGCAGGAAGAACCGGAAACAGGGATCTGACAGTACATCGTTGTGTGCCGGTGTGTTAGCTAACAGTAGCTTGCTAAAACACAGCATGATGGAGGAAAATTAGCAATAAAACTTGTTCATTTCCAAAACAGAATCAGATCTAGACAGAAGCCGGGGTGCAGATGCTAACTAAAATGATGGGACACATTAGCTGTGTTAGCAAGCTACTGTAGTTAGCTAGGGCACTTGCAAACATGTCACATACTGTCAAACTGCTTTAGCTTAACTTACTGAAATATAGCAACCTAAACTGATGGATGTTTAATAGGGACAAAATACTCGCTGCGCACGTTGACATATAGAGTGTGAGGGTCCCGGTTTTCCCCGTTCTTCCTGCTAACGCCACTTTTGTCTTTTTTAAAGCTTCGGGGCTAATTTTTTTTTTTTTTTTGCTTGGTAGCTTGCTAAACTGTAACTCTGCGTTCTTTGTCTTGTTGCCAGCATTTCCTGTCCCACAGTAGCTTTTAGGCATTTTTCAGCTTTTTGTAAAAAGACCAAAGCTGAAAAAATGTAGAAAAAAAATCTGGATGTAGTTTTAGGTAGTAGACATTTCACCTCTCATCCAAGAGGCTTCATCAGTTCTGTCCGACTGGTGGTGAGCAGGAGGTATTTATCCCCCAGGGTGGTGGTTCAATCCTTTGACGGCCAACAATGCCCCCTAACAACTGATTCATTGTGGTTCCAGTCAGTCGTTAGGACATTGTTGGCCTTTTTTTTTTTTTTTTTTTTAGCAATTCTACAAACACTTCACTCATTCAGTGCCAATGATAATTCATTCACAATTTTTTGTGCATGATTAGGTCATGGCTGGCTTTTTTAATACAGAAGGAAATCAGGAAGACTTTAAGTTAAAAGCAAAATCATAGAAACATGCAGATGAATTATTTTACAACTAACTGGTAACCTGTGCAGAGAGTCTAAAACGCTTAGCATTAAAACTGCCTACCAGCACCTTTGAAGCTCATTGATTAACGTATTGTATCTTGTTCATTTAATCTATACACAAATGCAAAGAAAGAGCTCCAGCACTTGTTTGTATGGACTAAACAACCAAGATACAAAATGTAAATCCATTACCCAGGTAGCTATGTCTATAGGCTAAGCTAACCACACCCTGACTGCAGCTCCTTACAGAACACACACACACACACACACACACACACACCCTCATTAAGGTGAACAGGCAGATAAACAAGATTGGACATGTTCAGATTTGGCACTGGGTGTTTGGAAGTCATCTGAAACATTGAGCTCTACCAGCTGGTTTACCTGCGGTCTCAGGTGAGCGGCTGTCCGTGGTCCCCTCCGGCCCTCATCATGTCCTGTATCTGTCTGTTGAGCTCTGCGATGATTCGGTCCTCGTGGGTGTAAACTCCGGTCCTCAGCAGAGTGTCCCTCTCCTCCAGCAGGCGGCTCAGGTGTTCATCAGCGCTCTCGTTAACACCTGGACCAGGGGCGGAGCCAGGCAGGTAGGAGGTGGGGCCTAATTTTCCCTCTTGCTGCTTCAACCTGAGAAACAAAATATTAAAAACATGTCTGAAATCTGTTTATCAGTTTTCTTAACTGTCTGAAACAAGAGTTTTAAATTAGTGTATTAAAACTAGGGGAGGCAGGAAAGTAAAGCTGTAGGTACACTTGCTTTTGTATGACGCCATACTGACTGTAAGGGGAAATACAGCAGGTTTTTTTAGTCTGTTGTTTAATGTGAGGAGCTGATGCTTTTTTCTTTGTCAGATATGAGCATCAGCTGAGTCTCTATGGATCTGCTGGCTGGACACAACAAGACGTGAAGACACCACCTTTGGCTCTGGAGAGTCACAGTGGGACTTTTTCCCCAGTGTCTGACATTCTGGGAATAAACAGATCAATCATATCATCAAGATGATCAGCTGATTAATCGGTGACCCTGTTTTAATCTGTTCTTCAGTTTCATTTCTAATGCTGCACATTAAGCATATACTGTATAAAAGCAGCAGTTAAGAGGTTAAAACTTGAGGAGCTGATGCCATGATGATGCTCACCTGTTGAGTTCGTTCCTGATGTCGTCCAGCTCCTGTCGGTCTTGTCGGACCACCTCCTTCTCCTCTGTTGCCAGGTAACGCAGCCTCATGGCATCCAGCTCTGCCTGTTGCTTCTTCAGACGTGTCATGGCGTTTTCCTGCTCCCGCTGTAAACACAAATAAAGCTGTTAAAATGGGAAACGGCTGCACATCTTTGTGACTGAGTGCTTGTTTTCAGTCTCTCACTGCATGAGAGAGTTCAGGACTCAAATCACACCAATTTCAGGTTAACATGTTTGACTTCCAACTCTTCTGCACTGAGGACGTTTTAAAATAAGTCTTTGACCCTGGTGTTGAAAGACACGCTGAGATGCCAAGAAACTGTTTCTCCTAATTACACAGAGCGGAGTGTGGTGATAAATTTGTCTGCTTTCACATTTTCATAAAAACCTCCCTGAGAAAAATGCTGCAAGACCTGAAGAATTCACACAGAGACCAACAGCAACACGATGAGAACAGCGAGAAAACGTCATAAAAATGTCCAGAAGTCATATTTCTCTCAACTGCTCCGGCCTCTAGGTCCAAAAGACCAGACTTCCCAAAATCAGCCATAGTATTAATCTGGGCTGCGTGTGCTGGCTCACAGCTGGACACTAATAAATCAAGGAAAACAAACACTAATCTGGTGTCAGAGCTTCTCTCAGACCTGTGGATAGAAATCGAGAGTTATAGCTTGAAAGGCTGCAGGTTAAGGGAAGAACCTGCTGGCAAAATCTGAAATAAAGTCGATGTGTGATCACTCTACAGTTCCAGAACCTACGCAGCCAGTGACTGAGCCTGGGTCGTCTGGGAGGGGACACAACGGCAGAAATATAGAACTGGTGCATCCTGTGAAACGAGGTTAAATGGTAGAACTCATTCTGTTATCAATTACAGGAAACTAGAATTAAAATTTTTGCCACTTTCTGATAAGACACCATTTATAAATAAGCTGGAATCACAGATTAAAAGCCATTTACCTATTTAGTTCGGATCAGTAATAAACCATGAATAAGAGCCTGTGGGTTGCCAGATTGTGAAAATCCTCCTCCAGCACCATTTACTGTCTCCAGTTCATTACGGAGGCCTCTAATCCAAATCCATCACCAGCTCTTTCATAAAATCACACAGGTGAGATCAGAGTGTAACTGTGTCCCTGACAAATAGTTTAGTGTGGGTTTTTTATTACTAATTAATCTGCCAGGTATTTTCTTAACTGATAAATGAATAGGGTTAGATTTGCATACTGTCAACCTTGGGCAGATCACACCTGCTTTTTCCGACGTTGTTACAGGGTTAAACCCCAGCTGTAGGTCTGCCGAGGTGAACACTCTCAGCCTAATACTGCCAACTTCCTACTGAGGTCAGCAGTCACTCATCTTTGTCTGCAGCCAGGTTCTTGTTAGTGGCCCACAGTGCTCAATCACTCATCAGCTGGTCTGGCACTGGGCCTCAGGGACATGTGTAGAGGTCTGGAGCAAACCACATGACTCAAGCTCATTTGGCTACACCTGGCACTAGAGAAAGGGTCGGGGAAAGGGGGGTCAGTGAAATTACCGGGGTTCATCCACTGTGGAACACAAATCATCTCAGTGGTGGACCACATCTAATGTCATAGTGATGCTCACAACAGTTCAGGAGGTCGTCCTCCAACAAAACTACAACTTAACCTATGAAGACCTTGTTAAAGTGCCTTCAGTGGAGCGCTAACATCACTCAGCCGCTCTGCTAAACAGGGCAAAAACAAACGGTGCCGGCAGCAGAGGGTGGGAAGGCGATTTGAGGAGCTGGGATCTGTCTGTTGGGGTGACACTGAGCAGAACCACCGGGCGGCTGATTCTGGATGGGAAAACCAACATTTTCACATTAACTGCCCGACCGCTCTCCCTCACTCAGTCACACAGAAAGCTTCCATTTTCACACGCCTGATCTCCTCACCTCACCTCGCCGTGGAAACACACACATTCTCTCATGAACACATCACTCACGCACACACACACACAGAGCGGTGTGTTGACACAGGCTCTGCTCCCTGTGGACCATTAGCAGTCTGCATTACAGGCCGTTTTAAAGCTAATTACTAGAAAAACAAACAGGCTAAACATTTTCTCTAGTGCCCACTGCCAAGGACAATCTGAGGCCGAGGCCTGAAACAATTAGAGGACGAGGTGATACTGAGGCCGAAGCGGGGGAGAGGAGGAAGGGCTGAAGGAGAAAAGCTACGTGCCCTGAAGCTGATATTTTAGTTACGTCATGAGCTGCTGTTTCAGAGGTGAAACCTGTATAACCGTGCTTAAGAGAACCCACAGTGTCTCAACAAACCACAACAAACATACACTGAAAAAGTTCATTAATGACAAAGACCTGTGGAGACAGAGCTACAGGAGTGAGTTCACATCAGTGCATCCCTGCGAACGTGGCTAAGCCAAACTGCCACAAACACACAAAAAACTAAAACCACTGCCTTCACACATGTCCAGACAACGCGTTGTAAGAACCACTTAGTTTAGTCGGAGCCAGAGAGGAGCATGTAAATGAAGTGATCATCATTTAGTTAATATGTCATCCCTGCTAGTGTCCCGCGGGCCCTCGTCACTCCTTCACACAGCCAACTCAAACACGCCGAACTGTAGACAAGCTGTGAGCTGAGAGGAGGCGAGCAGCATCGAGGCTGGAGATGGTCAGGGAGCTGATTTCTGGGATGGATGACCAGAGAATGGCTTCTCCCCCCCTCAGTCTTCCCTCCATTACTGGCCTCTACTTTCAGAGGTCAACAGTCCCGAGCAGCTGCCTCATACAAACGCTCTCATGCCACCGCTCACATGTGGACACACTTTTCTCAGCTCACAGCTGTAGTTTGGTGAGCAGCTCACCACCTGGGGGAGGTCAGGCCAGTGTTTTTCATCAGGGTTTTTTGAGGCAGCTGTGGATGAAACGAACGGCAATGAGGACAACCGGGGCTCAAATTAGAGTTAAATGTGTGCGTTTCTGTAACAGCTGAAATTATGGGGGGGGGACTAGGAAAACAGGGACAGATATAAAATGTCCGTTTTCTGTCAGAAACCTACTGAAGCTGAAGTAGCTCCACACCTGAGCAGGTTCAAGGGCAGTTTTCCTGTTCTGCTGTTACTCAAGAACAGTTAAAATGATGACAGTAACTCCTTAAACCTTTGACAGGCCGTCTGAAGATGAACACAGTGGAAATCAAAGTAAGACAACATACTAATAAAAACACATTATGAACAGATGTGAACGCCATAGCTGAGCACACAAATCAGCAATTCAAGGGCATGTATTAATAACTCCTGCCCTAATACTGGACCAAGATATGTGGATATACTTTAGGTTTTGGTGGTTAAACATAACCTTGTATTGTCTTTCAGATCCTTTAAAAAAACACATTTTATGGAACAACAGTGTTTCTCTGTAAAACTGAAAAAGGGAGGCATGCGCCTGGTCCGGTCTGCCTTGGCAGGACTCAGACAGGTTTTACAAGCTTCTGCTTCACCGTTGGCAGAAAGGAAGGAAGACTCTCGGACTGCAGGGCACCAGGGGCGTCTGCTGCCCCCTGGAAGAGGGGGAAGACATACTGTGTATTATTATTTTAAACCAAAAGCACAAATTTGATCAGATTAGTTTGTAAATCGTGCACAGTTTAGTAATTTGAGCACAGTGATTCACTGTTGCTTCTCTCTGTGGCTGCGTAACCTTCTGATACCACAAACGGTTTGTCCCAAAAACACTTCAGCACCCAGATCTGCCTGACAAACCGAGCTTATGTTTAAACCGTGAGTCTGCCAGTAATCTCCTGGTTCTAGTGGCCTCTCCAACTGGAATAAAGTCCTCCAGTGTCACCACCATGTGAACACCTTCAATCTGAAGTTTGTGTTTGGAGGCAGGTTCCCAATGGGCCCATAAGGAAAAACTGTTCCACATCAAACTGCTGTCCAGCGTGGAGTCTATTCCAGTTGCATTCAAACCATTCAATTCAATGCACGTCTAAAATACACACCGAGTGTAATATTACTTGCTCATTCTTCCCAGGAACTGTCACAAAACTCTGTGAGCCTCCCTGACTGGAACACACCCCTCATACTAGAGCTCCATAATATTCTAGGAATGTCCACTGGGAGCCATCAGAGTCTCCACTGAGACCAGTAATACTGAAATTCCCTCCGATGACATGTTACATCTGCTGTTTGACAGTTCTATACAAACAGACTCACGGCATCACAAGACGGGACAGTTGTAGTCTCGACAGCTCCAGGGGGAATTAAGCCCCAAACTCTGGTGGCAGCACCAGGACCACATGACCATGACGAAAGTGGACTGGTCCAAACAGCGTGACTGGTCAGTGGCTGGGCATCAGAGCTCAGTGGTTTTTAAGTTTATACTGAAATGTGGCACAGAGTATGAAAAACTAAACGCCCAAACGATGTCGTCTGTAAATGAAGGTTTTACCTATTAATTTGTGCAACATTCAATAAGTTAAGATATGTTGAGTTGTTGGTGTGAAATTCAATTTAAAGTCTTTAATATGTCGACCGTACTCCACATCGCCTCTTCTACTCTCAGGTCAGATAATAGTAAGCTAACGTTAGCTGCAAATATTTATAACAACTAATCTCCAGGTACAAACCAGCCTGTGTGGTCAATGCCAATTTGACTTAGTAAAAACTTCAACAGGCTCCCAAACAACGTCATCAACGAGGCGTGTGCACATCACAGGGGTAGGAAAAGCAGAATGACGGAGATTCTGTGGAAAGTAACATGACAAGGACTTGTTGTGCAGCAAACTGCTTGAATCAAGGATGGAAAATGTTCCAGCATCCCGGAGGGAAAACATTCCTTCTAACAGAGAACGATAAACTTCAGTAATGAAAAGAGCCGGGGGTCAGTGGGGACGAGAGCTTGTGCAGAGCTCATTTAATTTCTGTTGAGTGTTTCTACCCAACTTTTACTAACTATTACTGAAAACCTCAACGAAGACACCCAAAAGCTCAGGAAAGCTAAAGCTAGTTAGCCCTGTATGGCTGAAACAACCCGGAGCAGAGCAACCTACGCTTTACATTGCCCTGCTCAACAAGCTCAGACTAGCTTCCTTCTGACTCCCCGTGCAGTCACACATGTTTGTACTGGACTCACTGGGAGCTGTGGTCCCGAACCCTGTCCCCTACTCCTCTCTGTTGTCTGCACAGTTATTGCTGCTAGATGCACTAGTGTTCGAAGACCAATACAGTCACGGTGAAAAGAGAGTGCACCCTCCTTCAGTTGTTTTTATTCATCATGGCCTAAAAACCAAGTGTGACTTCACCAAGTTTATTAAGAAAAAGCACAACAGATTTCAGCATTCAGAAACCAGGTGGGAAAATAAAAGCCCCTCCTATAATTCATTAACATGTAGAGCCAAGTCAAAACGGACCAGGTTTAGTCCTCTGTCCCACTACAACCAGCCACATTCAGCTGCTGAGCTTCCACATGTGCTTTAAAAATACCAAATTTAGTTTCCTGGCTCAATACTTTCATCTCCCTGTCCCAATATTTTTGCTGTGAAAAGACTAACTTCAGCTCCTTGTCCCAATATTTTGACTTTAAAAAGACCAAAGCTCACTCTCTGATCTAATACCCCAGTGCCGTCTGGATATTAATTCTCACTCTGCCTCTCCGGTCGCCCGCACCCCCGGCTCGAAAAGCACATTATTCCTCGGACAAGAATTTTTATTATCCGACTTGAGCTAAACAGTACGCCATGCAAGGCGCTGAGAGGAGAGAATAAATAGGCGAGGAGAGGCAGAGGAAAACCAAACAAGCCCCAGCTTTAAAACCCACCAAGCGCCAAGACGGATGGTCGTGTAAACACAGGCCTGATATTTTGTAAAAAGCGAGTGTGTGACATCTGAATAGCGCCCGGCTAGCTTATTGCTCAATGCAATGCGAGGGATGATTAATATGAGGGGAGTGACGCTGAGCGGCGAACCCCCTTAGAGCTGCATAAATCACACCATGTTTTCTTTACAGTGATGTGGCACTTTGAGAAGGGAGGAAGGAGGAGCGGACAAGAGCAAAAGAACAAGAAACGACAGTGACGCGCTAAAAGAGGACGAGAACGAAGGGACACAGGAGCTTTTAACTAAACAAAATGAAGGCTGAGACGAAAAAGAAATAAAAGAACAGTGTGAGACTGGTGACAGAAAAGGTCTGTAGACAGAAATATCAGAAAGATAACGTAGATGAGTGGAAATTAAAGAAACAGAAGAGAGAAAAGTAGGTTAAAAACAAACAGAGGAAAGACAAAGTGATGAAGATAAAAGAGTGGCTAAGATTGATGAAGTGGAGGAGGAAGAGCAGGACTGAGGAGAGGAGACAGGTGACTGAAGGAAGGATGGGGAGGAAAAGGGAGGAGACAGAAAGAGAGGGAGGACGAATGTGTTGGGGTTTCCAGCTGGTCAGTGTCAGTAACAGTTATTAGCCATGTGTGTGTGTTTACATTAGTCTTAGGCGGACTAAAGCCCCACTTAGTGCCGTGTGTGTGTTAACAACTGATCACACTGCCATTGCCTACTTCACCTCAGCTAAATATTTGGCTCTGGTGTAAAAGCACACCTATCTCTCTCTCTCTCTCTCTTTCCTTTTAGTTCACCATCTCTCTCACACACACACACACACACACACACACACACACACACACACACACACACACATATTTCCACATGTAAGGAAACACATTTGTTCTCACACTCCAGCTGGATTAAAGTTAACGCTGTAGCTGCCGTGCGCCTCCTAAATAAGGCAACTCCGGTGCTTTGCTCGTGTGTCACCACTTCCTGACACTATGCCAAAGTGAAGCCAAAACACAGCAAATCCTGGGGCGGCCATATATCCTTATCCAGGTTTTAACTCTCAAATATTATTAATATTCTTACCAATACTCTTACAGACACTAGGGGCTCATAAGTACCCAGCAGCCCCTGGACACATACAACAGGTTTGAACTGTTTCACTGTTAAAGCTTCACTAAAATAGCAAGATAAAGACACTACGGGTCACAGTGTGTACTTTGGATAGTTTAAAATGTTTTCCTGCCTTTACTTGATTGTACATTTTCACTCTGTGGTGGCTTTTTCTTAATTAAAGGAATTTCAATTTGGAAATCTAAAGCCCCTCTCTTGCCTGACTCCTGTCGCAGTGTGATGTGAGCTGATGGATGGCGGCGGGCTGAGCACAGTTTCCTCTGCTGGCTGTTGAATGTCCTAACAGTAAAGCCTTTCGGAGCTACATACTCTAGGTTAACAGAAAACCGTTTACAGCGCAGTGGCACGCACACGCAGAATCGCCAGTATGGTCCTTTAAATGTGTAGAAACAAACCCTCTGAGACCCTCTGATGGCCATTCACCAGTGTGAGTGCTTTAGATGGACGCAGTACCTGTTTGAACCTGGCCAGCTCTTTTAAGGCGCGCCCCCACTGCTGCTTGTAGTGAAGCTTAGACTTGGTGGTGGACTCCAGCTTCCTCTCCAGCTCCACCTTAATAATCAGAGAGCAAAGACGTCAGTCGCACACATCAGAAAGCCTCTGGACAGTTATGATGTGATGAGGAGCCTGAAATCGCACAAGCTCAGTAACATCACTCAGCTGAATAACAACCTGTTATGGTTAAAGTGATCATCACAGTGAGTATATTCTGATTAGTGTCTTATTTTCTCTGGATGGATCAAAGAAAAATCTGGAGATGGAAATATTTTGAAAGGCAGAGGAAACTGCTTCTTCTTTGACACTAAAGTTTGACCTAGATTTTTTAAATACAAAGCTTTCTTCAGATAAACGCAGCTTTCCTGAAGGCAAATATAAAAATTGGTCCACAACATACATCAGGTCTTAAGTTTTCCTCTGAGACTTGATTTGGGGCTTGTAGCAGAGTCAGAGCCAGACTCGGTATGAACCACAGGACAAACTTAGGTTATGTACGCCAGGGACGTCTGTGAGCCGCTGTTATTTAGCCTGGTCTCAGTGGTACAGTGTGTGTGTGGGGGGGGATAATAGAAGCCCCTCCCAGTATAACACAGTCCAGGTCACACAGGTCGCACCTTTACTGCAGGACTGTTGGGTTAGACTGACTTAGCCTGGCACCGGGGTTCCTAATAAACTGACCACTGAGTGGACTGTAAACTGAAACCAAGTGCTGTCTCTTGTGTCTGTGTAGGTAGTGTAGCTACTTGTAAGGGCCAAGTAACTGTTTAAATGTGCGCTGCAGTAGATTTCTCTCTAACTTAATAAGGAGTAACGTAACGAAGCGCTGACTACCTTCTCCAGAGTCAGCAGGTTGATCTCCGACTGCAGTCTGAACTCGGGTCTGATGTTCTGTTGCTCTCTGTACAGTTGAAACTCTTTCTCCAGCTGTTTATACCGAGACTCGGCATCTGCGATCTGAGGAGAAGAGTTGAACTAGTTATTACTGCTTTTATATGAACATCCAGAATCACAGACAAGGCTCTGAGTCAGTCTCCACCTGCTGGAGCAGCCGGGCTCTCTCCTCCTCCATCAGTCGCACTTTGTCTCTCTCCAGCGCCACCCGGTGGTCACACTCCTGCTGCAGCCTCCTGCGACTCTCCTGCAGCTCCCTCTGGGCCAGATCGTGTTCAGCTCGCAGCTCCCTCTGCAATCTCTGGGTCTGGGGGGACAAAAACACACTCGCCATCAAAACCGCTGTCTCCGTGTAGGGTCTGTGGTCAAAACACACGTACAAGATGTCTGACTACGCTGCTGCAAAACACACTTTGAAATCAATTAATCATATAAAATGGTGTTGACAGAGGTGTCACCCTCCTGTTAATGGAATAATTTGTGCGTAAACTCAGATCATGAGTGAAACATTCAGATGTAAAGATTTAACATAAAGCTCACTCGCGTTGACTTTTCTCGCTGTGTGTTCTCTGTGTAAAGTCGTCCTAACATGCAGGAAGCAGCTTGAAAAAGATGTTTCCGTTGTCATTTTGCCCAAATCGGAGTAAATCTGTAGAACTATGTTCCAGAAAACACAACTTTACACGCAATATACTTTGAGAAAATTGTTTTTCTTATGAAAATTGAAAAGTAGAGAAGCTCTGATCACAATTTTCTTGGCTGATTCCAATTTGCGATTTTTTAGTCTGACCTGCCGATTCCGATTTTGACCGATTCCGTTTTTCTCTTTCTAATAACGTTCAGAGATTTTTCTAACGTTTCTTTAATGAAAAGTTTGTAGTAAAACAAAATGTATTAAAGTTTTACATTGTCCATCTTTCCCTCACTCTTCCTTTTTAACAAACCTCCAACTAAAGATGAAGTGTAGTATTTGTACTTCTCCAAATACAAACAAGCTGCACACGCTACATTTACGTCTGTGCCACTGTTTCCACAATGTGAACTGTGGTGCCTCTAAATCTGATCAGCACAGAATCAAAAACCTCTACTGAACACAGTGTTGGAAATCTGAGGTATTTAGCAGATGGAGCTCAGGGACGCTGGCGAGTGACTTGGTGGAGTAACCAGACATGTTTTAGTTGTTTATCTATATTCGGGTCTTCACCCTCGACACACCTCCATGTCCCATTAAAACTGCTCTGATGATTCAGAAGTGATTTCATAATTCAGTTTCACACTAAAGCGTCATTGTGCGTTTTAAGACGTTACTGTCTTAAATCCTCCACGGCTGTGCATTTCACTGCTGTGGTCCTTTCACCCAGACTGAGCAAAATAAATTTAATTTGTGGCTTAAAACAGCCTTCAGCTCATCCCGGCAGAAATGAGTCTTGTCAAGTTTGCCATAAAAATCAACTCCAAGCCACTACAAGGTGTGTTTTTTCCCAAAATCCATCTTAATAATGGACATAATCACGGAACGCAGCACTGAAACGCTGGAGTGTCTGACCTCCAGTTCGCCCTCAGCCAGCTGCTTCTCTCTCCTCTCCAGGTCGGACAGAGTCTTCTGTAACTGCTCCTCCAACATGTTATACTCCATCTCCTACGGAGAGAGGGATAGAAAATGATCATTTGACTCGTTTTGCAGTAAATACAGCTGAGCAACAAATTAAAGAAAAACTAGCACAAGGTTTTAAAGTTCTGGTGTTGTGTTGAAATTCTATGACTTCTAGTTTAGTGCGTGACTGACTCACTGACATCGTTTTGTCAGCTGTGTTAATATTTTTCACATAAAAGAAAATGCTGGTTCAAAAGTAACTTCTAAAAGTCGAAACTGGTACGAATGTGTTGGTGACATTGGTGCTGGTCTCCATTTTTGTGACCATTCTTCTGGCTTATCATTAATGTGTCCAGGTGAGAGTGGAGTCATCACTCCTTCGCCAACACTAAGCTCTAATTGGTCGGTTGTAAAACAGCTGATCCTGACCCCTGTACAACTGAGATGAGGGCCTCCAGCACAGATCCTCTGGACTCGACCAGAGGGACGAAACACCTTTGTTCTTCAAGAAATATTCAAGATTTGTTTTTATTATGTGCCAGAGTGTCAGATCAGTGACTCTTGTGTCCTGAAAACAAGCATTTGGATTTGTTTCCCCACTCGCTGAGATGCTGACACCCATCTGTAAGCTGTGTTTGCATTTTGTGCATATGTGTGTGTAGGTGTGAACGCTCCACCTTCTTCTTAACCAGAGCTTCTCTCTCCCTGTCTCTCCTCCTCCACTCCTCCGCCAGCGCCTGCATGTGGCTCAGCTCCTTCTTCCTCAGCTGGAACAAATCCACACATTAAGACTTTTGTTGATGTTCACTTTTTATCAAACAGATAATTCAGTTTCAGAAGATGAACAATAAATACTCAAACATCAGGTTACCTTTGTTCAAATAAATAGAATACTGTAGTTTTCAATCAAACAGGAGGATTTTTTATAGCTAAAAATATAAAAGAGAGGAAGCAGTAAAAACTTTTTCAAACTAAAAAGCAGCAGCACCAACATTCAGCAGCTTCTTACAGCACAGCTGCTTTTTACACATGTGGATCTTCTCCATTCAGACCGTTTCTACATGTCTATATCTATAAAATGTCCATTTCTGCTCTGACAAGATGGCGCCCGTCAATATAATTCAATATAATTTACTGCTCTTCATGTGTTGATGCTAGTAATTTCAGTCCTGTTTGTACCTGATCATCGAACAGATCTTCCTGCTCCTCCTTCCACAGCTCCAGCTCCAGGGCCGTGCGGTACTCCAGGGTGTCTCTGGGGGCCGTGGGGCCCGGCGCGGTGGGGGGCAGGCTGAGCTGAGCAGGTCTGGGTACTGCAGGGTGGGAGGACAGTTGTGTGGGGTCTACAGGTTCGTTCTGATGATGTATAAGGATAAAAAACCTTTAGTAAGACATAACCTGAATATGAGCACTGTGCAAAAATAAATATACAATCTTATTTTAAATGCCAGGAAATAATCATTACATTAAATATTATTTGAAGGTATAGATATGTACAGAATACTGGACAATAAGAGAAAATGTGATACTCTGATGCAGAATGTAATAAATAAAAACATTTAAACAATAACTTCAGTTTCTAATATAATATTCCTGTGCAGATTGAATATGAACTAAAGCAGGCAGACAGTCTATCCTCCATAACTTACATTCTCTATCACACAGTCCTGCTGATAAACAAAGACACACCTAGAGTGACTGCTGTTCAGCTCTGTAGGTATTAACATATGTGACGCCAGCCAGCCCCATTCATGCACACACACACAGCTGCGTCACCTGTGAAGACTCGGACACAACGACCTCTGTGGCTTTAACCAAGCCCAGGTCCTCCAGTGTCACCACGTAGCTCAGCTCTGCGACCTTCTCACTGGGTCTGATGGATGGAGACGGTGGTTAAACAGAGGTTAACAACCACACTGTCATCATCAGTCAGCCAGCGTTTCCTACCGTTGTGCTTTGAACACGGGGATTCGATCCTGGTGAGTCTGTCTCCAGCTCCGCTCTCCTGTTGATGCCAACAATCGGCTCCTCTCAGAGCTCAGCAGTTGAGACAGCTGGATGGACGCCCGCCCAATCAGCTGGTCTCTGCTGGAGGAGTCCCTGTGCCAAACCTCCACCACCAGAGGAACTCTGCAACAGGCACACACACACACACACACACACACACACACACACAGTGATATCACAGTGCCCGGCTTCCTGCAGCCAGCACCAGGCCTGGAAAGTCCTCAGCCATCAACACAGAGTCCTGTTGCACCACCTGCTGGCCAAAGGTGACTTTGCCAACAATGAGGAGCACTTTCCTACTGGACTACACAGTATCTGAGTTAACCAGCATTATAAGAAGAGAGGAAGAACTTTATCAATCATCAAGGTGAAAAATCACAATATGACAGTAAATGACTTCACTTTCTTGTGCAAAAAGAACTGCATTCCAGTGCAGATCAGGATTTTTTTTATTATATTTGTTAATTATCTGGTTATTCTTGAAGTACGTATACATTTTTATCTGTCATACACAAAGACAAATGACACTGATGTATAAACAAATATGGCAGACAGACAATGTGTTTACACATCACAGCTTGTTGATTCAGGGAAACTGTGACTTTAGTTTGACCTCAAAATAAACAACTCAGGACGATCATTTGACACAGCATGTGACACTGGGTTCAAACATCGGAATGTTTAAAATATATTCTGTAAGGTTAAAAACACGGACAATCATAAACCATCATCAATGATCACACACTCATTCCTCGTGTAACCATCAAGTCGGCGCACTGTACGTAGGTGTGTACAAGTGAAGCACTAAGAATGTTATGATGAACGTTTTCTATGTGTTCCCACCTGAGGAAGGTGTCCTGTAGCTGCTGTGGCAGGGCAGCAAAGTCGAAGGCACAGTAGGACTGAGGCAGAGACACCTCCATGTTCCTCTGCAGCTCCACTGGAGGGTTTGTCATGATAGGAGCCGCGCTGCCAAAGAACTGATACGAATACCTGAAAAATCACAGACACATGACCGCCATTGCACCACAGGTATAATTTGGACCACAGCACCGAACAGTTGTTTGACTGTTGTAGAGGCTAAAATGTAAGAAAACTTTTATTAGGTGAATTAAAACGGGTCTGTCACTTTCTTCTGTTATGATCATGGTGGATCATGTAAGAACAGGGTTCGTCAGGAACTAGTTCTGACTTAGCCCAACATTTCAGACCAGGTGAAGTCTCTCACCTGAGCGTAGCAGCGATGGGGTGCATCAGGCTGAGCTTCCCCAGGCCGCGGAGGTCCAGAGAGAAGCAGTAGTGATGGGCGGAGGAGGGAATGGCCACTTTGGGAGCAGAGACACTGACTGAGGATGCTCCGCCTTCAGCTGCAGCCTCAGTCTTGCTGTGCAGCAGAACAGGACCATCCAACTCTGCAGCTGGACATGAGGACACAAGCACAGTTTCAGTGGTACCGGTCTGGGTCATCCAAAACTGGACTGAAACTGTCTAACGTCTTGTACGAGGATGACGTACCTGCCAGTCCTGCCTGCTCTTTGCCACGTTGAAGCTCCTCCAGCAGACTCTCTGCTTCACTCTCTGTATGAGAGGAAGGAGGAGGAAGAGGAGGAGAGTCAGGAGGTTTCCGCACTGGAGAGGAGCTATGAGGTCTCTGTTCAACAGGGGGGACAGGTGGATGGACAGAGAGCGTCTGAGCTCTGCCTCCATCGTTATTCCCTAAAGACTGAAAAGGGACCGACGACAATGTAGCTGTAAGTCCACAGTGATTCTGAGGAAAGTCTAGTGCAGACCACATGACTTTCAAAGTCATCAGCTGCTGCAGAAAGTTCAAGGATCTTCAGAATTTGTCAAAATTATATTAGAAAACAAGAAAATGTTCTGGCTTCACCAAGGTAAACAACAGAGTGAGTAAATCCAGGAACATGTCACAGTAAACAAGCTCTCAACATGTTAAATATTTGTTTTGAGCCCAGAAAATATCATTCCAAGCTGTGTGTACCTGTGGTGTGACCTCCTCCCTCCTCAGAGTCACCGCCACTCCCACAGTCGGCTGCATGTCAGGAGGCAGAACCGGCAGTGTCTGCTTGATGCGATTTGGAGGTTGGAGTACAAACGCTCCCTCCACCGTCGCTGCCCTGTTCTCCAGATCCACAGGAACGGCAGACAGAGCTGAGAGCGACACCTCTGTGCTGCCCAGAGAGTGATTCCCACAACACAGGTGGATCTGAGGAGGATAAACAGACAGGAGCACATCTCAGGCCTTGACGCTCAGCTCTGATGTCTCAGTCAGATCAGACCATGTTGTGTCGCTGCTTCCCGTCCGTGTCAGTGCCACATACCGCTGAGCTCCTACACTGCCACATGCATAGATGTAACTGAAATGTGAGCCACGTGCGCACAAGAATAACAACCATGCCGTGTGTGCAACCCAGTTTCCTCCCAAACCGCTGGGTTATGATAAGTTCCTTCTGAACACCTTTCGGATCTGATCTGAATTTGGTCTGCTCACACTTCTATGGAAACTTCAGCTACAGAGGCATAACCAGTAAATGGTGGTTACCAGTCAGATGCCTTGGTTCTCACCTGTAAACTGGGCTGCTGAGACAGGAAGGTCTGGAGGATGTGTTTGCTACTGCGGATGCGCACAGAGGCACGCTCCGGCTCAAAGTCCGGGCTCAGCAGGTTGCGGAAAGGCTCGCTGGTGATGTCGTTTCCCAGTAAAGAGTAGTAGAAGAAGAACTCGGAGCCCTCTGCTGACAGCTTCATAGTGCTGGGGATGAACTGGGGGGAAAATGAATCGGTTGGTTTGTTGATTCTAACTAGGATCACTATTCTGACTCAGTATCTTATGGTGACACTTTACATTTGTTTCACCATTTTATTAAGGTTTTTGGGGTTTGATCACAGTTAAAACTGAACAGTACACACAGCGCCTCAGCCCATTTCCAACTGCAGAGAGAAAGAACAGCTTAATGTGACAAAAGAGATTAGAGGTTTAATTTGGCGAAGAGGACTGAAGGCCGGCTCTGCCGTCCTACAACACTCTGGAGGACCAACAGTCCTTGTTGGAGTCGACAGTTGGTGCAATAATGTTCAGTTACCACCTGAGATGTTCTTCTATTGTCACAGTATCATCAACCTGTGACTTTCAACTCATTTTCGAGTCATTTTGTGATGAACTGCTGTAATTTTCTTTGCCTCCACCTTTCTCTCCTTGTTCTGCACCAGTGAATGTTTCTACTTTCAGCCTGGATATGTTGAAGACAGTGTGGTTATAGAGAGTGGTCGGCTGATTAATCAGGCCATTTTTCTGCATTTTTAAGTGAATGGTATCGGCCGATGTGTCTGCAGACAAATAATGTGTCCTGTATCAGCATTATATACCGGCCATCGGCCTTTCTGCTCTCTAAAAAGGAAAAAAGAAAAACTGAAAAGCCCACATCGGTTGACCACTAGTTATATAGTGTGAAAAGTGGAAAAAGCTACATTGACAATGACAGTGGGAACAAAGAGTGAAATGACTACACATGCTTATACAAGGTTATACAAGGTTGATCAATGATGAAACTAAAAGGTCATTTAAGGAGGACCTTTTGAGACAGAATTGGGATTTGATATATAGAGAAAAAGATTTGGATAAAGCTTATGAGCACTTTAGTTATATTCAAAGCGTTGTATGACAAAAACTGCCCAAACAAATTGATTAAAACAAAGAAGAACTTGGAGGTAAAACCTTGGATGACCAAGGGGCTATTAAATGCATGTAAAAAAAAGAATTTTTAATATAGAGAATGGATGAAAGATAGAACAAAGGAAGCTGAACTAAAATACAAGAAATATAAGAATAGATTGACTAATGTATTGCGGACTTGTAAGAAACAATACTATAATAAACTATTAGACAATAATAAAAACAACATGAGAGATATTTGAAACATATTAAATAGGGTAATTAGAAATAATCATGGTAAGGAGAATTATCCTCATTATATTTTGGATGGTGATAAGTTGGTTAATAAAATGGAGGATATAGTAAATAAATTCAACGGTTTCTTTGTTAATGTTGCAAACAGGAAAATTTCCCAATTGTATGAAAACAGCAAAGGTTATTCCGTTATATAAATGTGGAGATAGGCATAATATTACAAATTATAGACCAATTTCTTTATTATCGCAATTCTCTAAAATCTTAGAAAAACTCTTTAATGCTAGATTAGATAAATTTTTGGACAAACATAAAATTTTAACTGAAAAGCAGTATGGTTTTAGATCTAATAGATCTACAGCGCTTGCAATTACTGAATTTGTAGAAGGTGTTACCAGTGCCTGGGACAACAAGAAACACACATTGGGGATTTTTATTGATTTTCAAAAGGCCTTTGACACTATTAATTTTGAAATTTTACTTGATAAATTGGAAAGGTATGGTATTAGAGGTTTGGTGCTGAAATGGATAAAAAGTTATTTGTCCAATAGACGGCAATTTGTAAGTCTGGGTGGGCATCAATCTGATTTTTTGGATATAGTATGTGGGGTCCCACAGGGGTCAGTTTTGGGCCCTAAACTTTTCATATTGTATATAAACGATATATGTTATGTTTCTGAATTACTGAACTTTGTATTATTTGCTGATGATACTACTGTATGGGCCTCTGGGGAAGACCTACAGCAACTTTTGGGT